CATTAAAATGTACGATTGAAACAAAATGTTGACTGTGTAAATAAATGGAAATGGTGATGCATTCAAATACCCATTATTAAGGGGCTTTTGCAGCAAAAAAATCCTTGATGTAGTTTTCCTAATGTAGCCAATTGTTTTGCAATAGTGGTCGATAAATTAGGAATATGGTCCGGTACGTTCTCTGAACGTGAATCTATAACCTATTACAAGGGAAAATTACCACTATGTGATTAAGATTGTGGCATCAGTTTTGACTTATGACTATTTTGAGCCAATCATAATAATCCACATTATACCTATAAATCATTTAGATTTAATTATTGAAGTTATCTAATTTATAATGATGGCTTTTAGTGAAAATTAACTATTTCAAATATTATCATGAGTTTTCAATGCATATATTAATTGGCCAATAGCCAATTTCAAGTTCATGACTATTGAAACCTCTAAACTTGATTTTAAAATTTTATGAAAACTTAATTTTTTTCACCGTTGTGTAGCTTATATATCTTTGTTATTTACCATTTTTAATTGGTCATAATATTTTTGGATATATAACAAATTCAAAGTTTACTCATAGGACCAATACGCCTATGTACAATGAAAGTCATAGTATATTTAATTCCAATTTCAAATACTTTCACAATCATTTTGTGATCAATATGTTCATATCTAGATCACCATATCAATGCAAATCATGCAACATGAATCCAAAGAATCATTTTTATAAAATAACATAAACAATAATTCTAATATGAGTTCTACTCATATTTCAAACAAAAAACTCATGATGAATTTGCATTAGTTAAATCATTGATTGGCTAACTCAAAAGTGTACGACTTTCACAAACTAATATTATTATCTAAGCTCATATATTAGTATAGTGTATAACCAGCCACATTCTTGTCATTGTCATTAAACTATTGAAAACCTCATAAATTTATGTATTTTTCATTTTAATAGCTTGTAAAAGGCCATTTTTTGGGATACAACAAGCAAAAATAGCTTTATATACAAAAAGCAAGAATGTTTTTATGTAATCATTGATTAACTCTTTTATGGCTATTTATAATTTTCACTTTGTGATTATTCACAATAAAATTTTATTTTATAAAATCATTTCTAGTGTAATACACCCAGCAGGTAAAATACATATCACATTGTCCATGTTTATGATAATAATAATTATTTAGTTTATTAACAATTATTTTATTTATTATCCTTCAATTAATTCATGAAACACCATATCTTAAAAATAATTATTCACATACATTAATTTAATTTTAATTGGTTTTTATGTAAATTGAATACTAGTCAAAATTTGAACCAATAATAAAACTTTTTTTAAAAAATTAACCTTTGATTTATAAACGATCAACAAAGGTAGAACTATATAAATAGCTTGACTCAAATTATTATCTCAATTTTGGTGTCATGATTTAAAAATAAAACTAATCTTACAGTCAAATTTTATTTTTTGCATATATTCTCCACTTATATCTAATTTTTTATAGTAAATACCTTTACGTATTTTCAATTATTTTCATAGAAACCATGGGACAATTTGCCTATTCTATATATAACCAATGCATAACAATTAAACAATCGACTATTCCATTAGAATCCAATTTAATTCGTTACTTTATAACAAGTGATAATTCTTTTGGTCGCATATCAATTCATCTCTTTTTTTTTTTATGTTTTTAGGCTATTTTACATCCTAGTCTTTATAAGCATTGATTTTTTAATAGAAATAATACAATTCATTAAACCCAATTGTGGAGCTAATTTTAGTATATACATAAACTTGTGCAATATAATCAATATTTTGCATATTGTGTTTTGACTTTACCCATTACTAAAATTAATTTTTTACATGTTTATCTCATTCAGTCAATCTTTTTACAAGCAATTATGCAAAAAAAAAAAAAAAACGTCTAATGAATATCTTTTGAAAATTAACATTTTGGTTAATGAAAACATTAATCTTTTGACACCTTGAGTCTCCTCCAATATTGATCTTCAAATCATGCCAATTTTTTTCCTTGTATGTTCCTTATGCGAAATTTAAATTTCTCATAATTACCTTTAAATTGTTAAAATAAAGAAATAAAAAAAGAGAAATAATAGAAAAATTTTTTTGGCTTTGACGTATGAAGAACACTTTCTTAAAGGCAATTATGCCTTCAAGATACAATAAAGTCTCAAACTCTCCAATTAGAAATAATGAAAATAGTTATATTAAAAGATTTATTTATAATGAATGAATAAAAATAAACTTTTATTCAAATGGTTATGACCTTTTGTATAATCATAACTTTTATGAATAATAATAATGTATTTTTATTTAAACAATTATGACTATTTGTTTTATGATAATTATTTCTGTTTAAATATAATTATTTAAAATATGAATAAAATTAATATAAAAATTAATTTTACTTATCAATAATTAAATCTTTCTATTCAATGTGAGAAATACCACATCCTAAATTACTAGCATCATCACCAAAGCTAGTTCATTATGAATAGCATGGCTAAAAGAATATGTGCTTAAAGGAGAAAAGTATATGGCAAGTATTAGCGAAGCCGAACAGTAGCTGGAATTGGAGAAAATTTCTTCAACTTAGATAGATGACGCGGAAGTTTGTCAAACAAGAGAATGGAGTTGAGATTTGGCCATTTCAAAGGAATTCCTATTCCACAACACTTGTGTGGGAGGAAATTAGGCCAAAACAAAAAGGTGGAGCGGCACAAACTTATATGGTTCAAATACCATATTCCAAAACACACATTGATAGTTTGGATGGTCATACTTAGCAGACTTCCCGCTGCAAATAGGCTGAGAGTTGGGGAATGGAGGCTGAAGGAATATGTTATCTGTTTAAGTGTGTAGAGGAGTCTGGGGATCATGTTTTCTTTGGATGTGACTTTGCGAGCAGAAGGTTCTTCAACTATGTAGAATTAGCAGGAGAATAGGGACTTGGGCTACAGAGTTAAGATAAAAGAGGCTTAAAGGGAGAGCGTTCATTTATATCATATTGCGCTTAGCATGGAATGCGTACATATTTATGATATGGAAGGAAAGGGATAACCGCCTGTTTAAGCAAATGGAAGACACCTTAACGTAAGTGATGGATCAAATCAAGGATGCTATTAGAACTAGATTGCATGGGCTTAATAGAATTGCTGCGGATGTAACTAATAAGAACTTTTATGATGCATGAAGCCTTAATATTACTATGTTAGAATATGTTGATATCTTAAATAGACTGATAGTAGAATTTATTCTTTGATTACTTGTAATGTTGTGAATTGTTATTTATTGTAGTAGATCACTGTTAGCTTGGATAAATGAAATTTAGATTTATAAAAATAATAATAATAATTATCGAATTTACCCTTGTTTGAAAATTTTGAAAGAGAGGGGATAGCTTTATATTGGAATTATCACTAATTTGTGGCCTCATGCACAGATTTTGTTTTTCATATAATTATTACACATACAAACAGCATTTTTAACAAAAAAAAAAATATAATTTATATTTGCATGTATTCAAATGATATCTAAAATAATAATTCTTTTAAACTATTCAAACATTCAAGAAACAATATTGTTAAAAAAAAAAGTGAATATATTTTAATGGAAAAAAAATGGCTTAACCCAAGTTGCTTATTTAATTTTGCATTTTTAATTAAAGATAAGTTTATTCTTTTAAAAAATGAACTTATATATTAGATTTATAAGAGTAACTCACTCTAGTTTTTTTTTTTTTAATTTAAATTTTTAGATATTTATATTTAATTTCATGTGTCAAAAAAATAAACCATTCATGTAGGAAAATTATTTTTTTCTAAAAGTTTGACCTATAAAAGATGTCAACATAATATATTACATTTTTTTAAGTTTAACTTGATTCAAAAAAATTAATTTGATAATTTTAACATTGTCGGACCAAATTTATCATAAATGAATTCTTGTAATATTCTTAAATAGAATTGAAGGAGTTAACAAAACGCATTATTAAATTAAAGAAAAAAGTGAAACCAAGAAGCAAGCCATGACAGATGCCAATGGATTAGAATTTACAACTCAAATTCTTTTAATCTTATGTGAGATAGGGTTTAGGAAATATGCATGTATATACAATTATAAATCATGGGAAATTAACATGCCAAGTTTCAAATATTTAACAGAAAGCAAGGGTCTTATCTATATACATAGGAAATATTTAATACAGCAAAAGCATTATGTAGATGGATAGATGACAATAGAAAAAAAAATCTCGAAATTTCTTCATAAAAAATTAACTTTAAGAAATAGAAAGAAAATTTTAACAGTATAACTTCAAAAAATAAGTCATTACAAGATAGTGATGACTTACAGATAACAACTAAACTAATGTATTTGGAGGCTTTCAAAGTGTCTCGACCAAAATTTAGCACTATTAATCAATTATCAACACATTCTGTTACTTAGAACACTTTTATATTTATATGAGTGAGGTGTTCAAAGAATTTAATATTTAATTACAACAAGTTGACTAAAAATTAAAATAGAAGTAATTAGAGTAATTTAATAAAAACTGTCATTTATTAATATTTTATAAAAAAGAATATTAGAGTGCATTAATTAGAAAATATAAAATTTATTTGTATTGCAAAAAATATATTTTTTTGAGTAATTAACTTTCTCTTTAGTTTCATGTTTTATTTATATTATTAATTAAGTTAATTATAACTTACTTTCGTAAGATAAATTAATTGTAACTTAATGTTATAAGGTAAGAATATTGAATATTTAAAAGGAAATTGAAGTAGTTAATTTAATCTAACTAATTATTTTTTACCAAATTAACTCATTATTTTTTAAGTAATAAAAATATGTTAAATAAATAAAATACATTTATTAAAGGACATGTTTGATTTTTAAATCCATCCACATGTCAAAAATTATTCACATAAGATTTTTTTTTTTTTTACCAAAAGTTTAGGCTTTTATAAATTTATATAAGAGTTGCAAACAGATTATAATGAACAAATCATATTTGATACAGCAGTAGCAATAGAATCATAAAAAATGGAAGAGTTCGACTAATCAAACGAACTTTATCAACATTCTCCAGATTAATAATAATAAGTTCATCCTTCTCTTCCAATTTTTTAGAGGTAATGGCAGTTGCGATAACCTACAAGTAAACACAGAACCATCAATGAATTTATAATGCAAAATTTTCTACATTCATCTACGATCGTAAGTGTCGGGTAACATATTTCACTTACTTGGATTGACAGTGATGATTTGACCGGTGCCAGCGAAATCACAGCTGAAATAGCTCTGACCTTTGGTTTGATAGTAAGAGTTCATTGCAAATGCAGCATGAGATTGGACAGTGTTGGGTTCATAGCATGTTCCACCAGGCTGAATTGGAGTACAGTCTACGCCTTGGCCACATGCATAATCCAGGTTTGATTGCAGCTGAACATAACTAACATCAATTTTTGGAACACAGTAATTATTGCCTGATGGTGCTGGAGTTGCCGGGGAAGGATTAGTAGGGGCTGGCACCGACTAATACATAGAAAAAAAAAAAAAAATCAGCACAAACATTTTTCTACAAGCTTATTAGAAATTAAATCAATCAAGGGAAATGTTTGCCTGTATTCTCTAACCTATTGATTGTACCCAAAAATGTCAGTTAAAAAAACAACATACCTGCTCATGGTGTAGAAGTGCAACGTCATACATAGGGGTCAAGTCAGGTTTAAGCAATCCCCAGTATTTCTCAGCTAGCGGACCTGGTTTTTGATTCTCATTAAACAATGCAAACATGTATGTCTCAAACTGGCGGTTCGGCATCAAAGGTGTTCCTTTGCCTGAAATAATTTCCTTAACCACATGCCCATTGTAAGAAATTGCATTTTCCATGGTAGCAAAGGGGCTGCTGGCATCACCTTGTGAGGGCCAACCAGTCTCACCAATTACAATATCCACATGTCCATAGCCAAGAGCTTTCATGGCCGAATAAGTTGAGTCCATGAGAGCATCAAACATATTGGTGTATGTTTTTCCTGTAAACTTGTCATAGACACCACGGTTTGGCTTGAAAAGAGCGTAATTCAATCTGCTCAATAAGTCAGGGCTAAAGTAGGGATATGGGTTAATCATAAAAGGCGATTTGGTCCGATGATGAAATTTGAGTGTGGGTGCAAAGAAGCTTAGGTCATAACCAACCATGAAACGCATCAAACTTGGTACAGTTTCACTTCGGAATATGTTGAGTGCATGAGAGCTTGTGATCTACTCAAAAAAAAAAAAAAAAGTTAGAATAGTGGACGATGATAACAAAATTGCTGATGTCTTTGGAGTTCCATTCATGTAAAACTATTTATTCCTTTAAACTTCTAAAATGAAAAATAATATTAGAATTGAACAATGAGACTTAAATTAAAAAAAAAAAAAACATTGACAACGTGAATTATTTGTAATAGCAATTTTATGATGAGATTTGCGATCATCTGTTTGAACACAAATGTACAAAAACCTTGAGGAATGGAAAATTGGATCAACGAAAGTAAGGAATTTACAATTCTCTATCATATAAGTAAAGAACATAAAAAATATGAATAAAGAATACTTATTGTCTTCATCTTAATCCAATCGTTCTTGAATTATTGAGTTTTTTAAAAAAATGATCGTTTTAGCATGAACCATGAAAAATAAAATATTTGCTTCGCAATGTTAAAAGATATAAGAAACATTGTTATTATCATGTTCTAAAATTATTACCACTTTGAACTAGTTTTCATGGTGAGAGGAGAGAACAATAACAAGAAGAAAAATATCATAAGCAAGATACCAACTATCTCAAAATATAAATAATGCATTCATCTAACCTTGATATCTTGAATTCCAGCTTTAATCAAAGCATAATGAAGACTCCTCATGGCTGGCACAAGGTTGTTAATCCAATCAGTAATATTTGAGAATAAGACTTCACTACCAACACAGATATATTTGATCTTTGTCTGAGGATAAAACGGGCTTATGTGTTGAGTAACCCATCTCCTTGCTGCAACGGTGTTGGTAAGAGCAGGAATATCTCCATTGCCAACTGTGACCGTAACCGAAATGCCAGTGTTTGCAAAAGCTCTAAGGACATCAGGATTAGCATCAAACATTTTGACACTGTCAAAAATGGTTTGGGTTTTAAGGAAGTTAGCAACCACAAAAGGAGAAGGAAGGTTGTCTGCAGACATGCCATAGTTCACTCCAAGGGCAGCGCTGCTCGTGAAGAGATGGAGGATTATGCTGAAGAGGAGAAAGATGGCAATCATGGCCACAAACGGTATTGTAACTTTTCCTCTTTGATTTTGTCGAGTTTTAAACTACCTAATGAAAGATGATTGTAAAAAAGAGGGGGTTGTAGGTGGTTTATATAGAATTTAAGGGATGACAAATCGGTTAAATTCAATATTTTGACAAATACATAGCTAGGAAGATCAAATGATAAAAAAAGCTAGATTATTAAGAAAGATTTTACCAACAGGAAGATTCTTGAGATATTCTGAAGTACTAGGAAAGCATTTCTAGCGCAAAGCAAGAATCATGGTTAAATTAAATAAATTGCAGTTACTCAAAAATTATTCTCAAGGAATTCTATAAAATTGTAGAACAGTTTTTTGCTAAACCCGAATTTGATATGACTCAACTTGGGTGTCTAAACTTCAGGCCCCCACTTCCAACCTGTTGAGAAAAGATCCGAATTCGTCATAACTGATATGCAAAGCTAATTGCAATTTGGTTTAAGAAAATAATTAAAATAAAAGAACACTTCATCACTACTATCATATGATAAAAACATTGTAGTAATTGCCACAAGTAAAATTTTCGCTTTGGAATAATTTATCTTACTTTTTTGGCCAATGGAATTATTTATCTTAAACCTTAATGTTCTGACCAAGCTGGATGTAAAACTAAATCAGCTAATGAGATTATCAAACATTAACATAAAACATTAATATTCTTTTAAAACAACAGAATCAAGTAACATGTAAACTAGCCATATTTTACTCAAGCAATCAAGTAATATTACTACTACCATTTATTGAAGTCTTAACTCTTAATAGCAATGAAAACAAGTAAAATAAACTAAGAGGTTGTTTGGTAACGTTTTCGTTTTATGTTTTGTGTTTTTTTTTTTTTTCATTTTTTTTAGAAATTGAAGACAAAATTGTGCTTGGTAAGTTGTTTTTTATTTCAAAAAAAAAAAAAAAAAACTAAAAACAAAGTTTTGGAAATCGTTGAAAATACAAAAATGATGTTTCCAAAATTTTGGAAATGTACAATTTTTCAAAATCAAAAGATTTGAACCCTGTCATCTTATAATTTACAATTTTAGCTTCTTTCTCTTATGAATTTTTGTTAGCAAATTTATGCAACAAAAACATTAAATCCAAACACGTTTTCAAATAAAACAAAACAAAACATTCAAAAAATCCAAGATTTAATGACTATTGAGTACTATTATATATCAGTATCAGCACGTCTCAAATCAGAATATCGGAACTAAAAACAAAAGTGTCTCATCGGCAAATCGAGAACGAAAAAATTTAGGTAGCAAATCAAGCAAATAACAAAGACAAAACTAAATAATTCAAAGCAATCAAATCATTAATTCATACAATGACACTCGTTACATTAAAATATTGTACAAGTATACATCATTCATTGTTATGGACTGATTCCAATTTCTATAATAAAAGGGAAAGAAATAATCTTGTGAAGGTGAAAGTTGGAGCATAGCACTAACTTACATGAAACAACTCTCAGTTAGTATGAATCTCAGTCAGCCCGTTCCAAGGGGAGAAGATGTTGGTGAAGCACTGGAAGTGAAAGAGAGGGAGACGTGAAAGAAAACCAGGGTTTTTTTTTTTTTTTTTTTTGAAGAGAAAGGTAAAGGCTTACACAAAGGAAACTGGGTGACTGTCCTTTTTTTCTTTTAAAGATAATTTATCTCTCTTCTCCTGAACATTCAAAAAAAGGAAATAGATAGCAGTGGAATTACACGTGTCATGTGTTAGGAGTTTACGTTGGGAGAGTTCAAATACTGGGCTGAAAATAACAAAAACAAAATATAACCGTTAAACTTAAAGAGATCAGACGTTGGTCCCACCATTGGGAATTAAAAAAAAAGAAAAAGCAATTGAGGGTAATGTCCGTTGTCAGTGTTCATCGACAGCGGCGAACAATGCCAGATTGCCTGCTACTCACTTTTATTTATTTTATAATGTTATTATTTTGCCCCCATCCTCCATTTTTTAAATTAATAATTTAAAAATAATATGTCTCTTTTGGACACGAGAGTAGCTGAGAAGCCATCAATTTTTTACAAAAGTTGCCATTCTTAGCTTACGATGGGCGCAAAGAAAAAGCCGCTTATTTAAAATGAATTTAAATGAATCATAATTTTAAATTTATAAAAATAAATAAAAATCTTATTATGTTGTGACTATTGTAGTCAAATAGACAATTTTATTAATTTGAATTTGATTTTATTTAAGAGTATTTTGTAAGTAAGATTTTAAATGTGTTAAATAAATTAATTAAAATTTGAAATTTTACATAATCATTATAAAAAAAAAGGACTTAAATATTTTTTTTAAAATTTTCTCATAAATAGGATAAATACACTGTAAAGAACACATGGGTCCTTACCGTCGGGTTTTCCTAAGGTGACATTCAACGGTCAAAATCAATCCATCCAACTTCCGCCTTAGCTTCACTTCTTGCAAATCGCAAACCCCAACAGTAGAGAGAGAATTAAAAAGAAAAAGGGAAAGATAGTACAGCAAAGAGAAGAAAAGAAGTGAAATTTCCGAGGTCGGTTTAGGAGGATAAACAAGAAAAAACGATGTCGTTCTGTTACTCGTTGTCAACTTCAATACTTTTGTCAATCCTCTCCAAAAAAATCCAAAATCTTTAATAGTGATGACAACGGATCGGGACGGAATAAATTTTTGTTCGCCCCGAATCCGATTCGATTTTAAATATATAATATTTTAATTCATATCCGATCCGATAATTTTTTTATTTTTAATACTCGAATCCGATCTGACTCGACATTATATAAAATTAAAACCGATCTGATCTCGACCCGACTTGAAATTAATAAAATATTATTTTAAATATAAATATAAAATTAAATATATAAAAAATATATATATAATTAAATATAAAATTAAAAAAATAATTTTTTTATACATATTGGGTCGGGTATGATCGGGTCAGATTTACCTAAAACCCGACTCCAACCCGAATCCAAAAAATTTTTTACCCTACCCGAACCGATACCTGATTTTCAAAAAAAAAAAAAAAAACCGATCCTAAGCTGTCGGATCGGGTCGAAACCCGACAGTTCGGATGTTTTTGCCTTCCCTAATCTTCAACCATGGGTTCATTAGAGCTGCGTCTTCTTATTCTTCAACGTCTCTGATTTCCTCTCCACTGATTGGTATGCAATTTACATTTATTAAGGCTTTGTTTGATCATACTTTTGCTTATTTTTGCTTTGTTCTTTTTTAAATAATAGTAAAAATTATAAAATGAAAGCAAATACTAGAAGCATCAACCAAATTGAATCTGAATTTCATTTTTTTCATAAATTTTAGTATTTGCTTTTGTATTCAAAAGCATTATTTACATTTTGCTTGCCGAAGGTAAAAACAAACTTAGTGAAGTTTTAAGATTTTTGGTACTATAGAAGTGTTCCCTCTTTTTGCTTGCGACAAGTAATTTAAATCATAGAGTGATATGAATCGTAATATGATAAAAAAATATAAAAATAAAAATTTTAATAATAATTATATGTGGTTTTAATAAAATTAAAAAAAATATATTTTATATTGTTATGTTCACAGAAATCATAATACTTAATTTTTGTATAAAATGTAAAAAAAATATATAAAATTTAATATTTTACATCATATTTATGGTTATTCCAACAAATGTCTCTGTAGGTTTTTTCATTTTACACTCTTACTTGCCTATTAATTTCTGATTTTTTTCACTACCTCATATATACTAGACAGCCTGCGTAAACATTTTCATAGCAATATTATCAATACACGTTTAGGGTAGAGTGCAAATGTAAGATATCATTCAAGTCTACTAGTAATATTTACTTGATTCAGATTCTTCGTTTACACATTGAATAACGCATTGCCATAATGCTAAAATTGAGTTGAAGCTTGTTCTCTTAGAGAACAACAATATGAGAATTTGTAACATAAAATTATCATATTAGAATTTATATCGATATATTAAATATAAAATATATATTTTAATTTTTTTAAATTCTTTATTTTTATCAAAATTTTAAATTTTAAACCGAGGAATACATTGTCCACGGTCAGGTAGGACGTCTGAATTTGGTCTATGGTTCCCTAAGTCCGAGATTCCTTATAAATGGAAGGAATCATCAAGCCAAGAACCAAGCAAGTTCTACATCTATAAAGTGGCAGTGGGACCTCCTGGGAGATCTTATCTACCAAAAAAAAAAAGTACAACGACAAGGCCACCTGTAATCTGTAACAGCATATCTATAACTCCATACGAAGATCATTGACAAAAGTTTGCTACATGTACGTTGGTGAAAATGGGGACAAATTATGAACAAATAAGGGGCAAAACCATTCTTGTTCAAAGAGGGCCAAAATTTTGGAATAGCCCTTTTACTAAAAGACACTAGATTTAGTAAGCATTCTGGTAACATCCATCATAGCTAGAGCAATTGGATCAAATTCAGACTAATAAAAGGAAAAAGGTAGTCATTGCAACTTGTTGGAGCTGACTTCAGATGCTCAATTATACAACTATGCCATTTAATCATATTGACCAGCTGGCCAGACCGACCAACAAAAGGGTTGAACAAGACAAGTAACAAAATTTCAGCTCATAAGATAAAGCACAGGGCACAGAGATAAAACCGACCATAACTCATGTCATTAATGCATTACGGCATCCTTATCATCAAAATAATCCATAAGAATTAATAAAATTAAAAAAGACAACAATAACTAAGGACTCCTGAGAGCGGTACTACCTTTGAGCTGTTATTTCTTTGCTTGAGATGGAGTGATGAACTTGGTAAGAACAAAGCAGTCAGGGGGGTCAATGTTTGTGTAATAGTTCTTGATTGTCTCAGTGATTTTAAATCCAAATTTCTTATAGAAGTTGATGGCATCTTCATTGTTTGTTTGAACACGCAAATAAATTTCGGGTATGCTTTGCTTCGAACAGAGATCAAGAACATGGTTCAATAGCCTTGTACCTGCATAAATCCAAGGTTTTAAGCATGCTTTCTGACAATTGAAGAAACTGAAGATACAAGGTTTTTAACAAACTATGGTTTTTTATTCATAATCAATGGGGAAAATAATTTCGGCAAAATATGTTTGAGACAAATAAGATTAGTCCATTAATTCCCTCGCAAGACTTACTCCATGAGAAAAATTGCATGTCTACTCACCAATGCCTACGCCACGATATGGTGCTAAAACACCCAATGTCATGATGTACACACGAATGGCCCCCCCTTCCTTCTTCTCGAGCCGGCAAGCAATTGATCCGACACAGATATCACTGTAATATGCTGAGTTAGCAAGCAAAAGAGTGAACATTAGAACAACATGCTAATTTTTGGAAAGTACGGGTCATGCCCCAACCTAAGCTCTGATCAGGTCTCAACTCATAAAATAGCTAAGGACAACAATCACTCATATGATATGTACGTCTGCATGTGTAACCATACATAATTTGTTCCAAGGGCTATCAAATAGAATTAAAAGATCATTAACTGTATCTTTCTAACCATCAATGCACCATAATAAAACATGATATCATATGTTGAAGGCATTGTGACAAACATCACAAACATGCTCAGCGCATTTCATAAGATCATGAAGTTAGACAAGAATAGAGCTACTCACAACTACAATCTAGTGTATTTCTCTGAGCATGACTTAAGGATTAAGGAGAACAAAAACATAAATACAATTACCAAGATAGAAGGAAATGATAGGATAATTCCTCAAAAATTAACAGGTTTTGAAACGTCTACAGTTTCAGTGAACAGATAGAGACCATCAAGTTCAATAAGCAAGTACCTGCTACACGATATGGTAAAATTTCAGAATCCAAAAATCTTTAGCCTGGGATTTTATGGATTTTAGTTCACAGGAAAGTTTTAATGATAGCTACTAGCCTACTGACTAGAAATTCAAAAGCAATGCAGGATAAGGATGGATGTATTAACATTCCATAATACAGGGAGGACGAAGATAGAATTGATGAGTGCAAAAATGAACATTGGTAAAATATTTGAGTCTAAGGCAGCACAAGAACAACAGCAGAAATGCGAATGTATTGTGGGATGATAGGAACAACATGTAGGCACGATTTATAGAGGATGAATGGAAGATTGGTGAAAAAGATTGAAAAAAAAAAATAGAAGTGTGGAACACAATAATTAGAACAAGCAGTTCATCTAAGTTGGGTTATCTATCTATGGGTTATCTATCTAACCTGAAACAATTTAATCCGACAACAAATTACTTTGAACAATGATTACATGGGATTGGGAGGACTCTAAACTGGTAGCTGGATACACCTTCTTGATAGCAAGTGCCAATCACAATTCCCCTCCAACATTCAAGGAGCAATCAATCAATAGAAGTGTATGTTTCCAGACTACGCCAATTTCATCACTTGTAACATAAACATCTAGGCTATCAATTTGGGTCTTTGAGAATAGAAAAATACCAAAAGGAAGTTTCAACTTCATGCATCCTCTTGATTTTAAGCTTATCTATGTTAAAACCTTGTTAAACCATGTCTCAGTCATGTCTATCGTCACATGTCAATACGAATCAAACTGGCCCGATAAAACCAAAATTTTTCCAAAGCAAAGAACTCAAACCCCAAAATCAAACGCAGAGGCCAAAACCAACAAAACAATCACCAAATGCCCATAACATGATGACAAACACATATGCAGCGGGAAAAAAGTAACAATAAAGTTCCCAACAGACGGCATATACTAATAAACAGAAAAGAAAAGCCCATGGTTCAAAAAAGCCATTGCATAGAAAAACCAAACAAAATGGACTAAACAAAGAGAATAGCATTGGTTTTAAGCAAAATAAGGAAAACCCAGAAAAGATTAGGCAAAAAAATGGGGAAAAAGGAACAAAAAAGGAGCAGACCAAGCTTGGTGAATTCGCCAGAAGCGAGACCATCAGCGTAGTACTTGTCGTTGTAGCGAACAGGGAAGAGAGCAGTGTTGAGCTTCTTCAGCTGCATCACGTTCTTATCCCTCACTCTATCCAGTGATATTGCTACTTCTCTCCCAGCCCCCATTTCTTTTTAATTTATGTTTGGCTTACTGGTCGAAGAAATAGAAGATTGGCAGAGGGGAAAAAATGGCGCTGAGTGGATTGTACGGACATAGTTGGATTTAAGGAGAACGGTGGAGGTAGGCTTTATAGCAAGAAGGGCGAGGGATTGCTGTTTTGGGAGCAAATTTGTGGGTTTATTTTTTTGTTTTGGGTGTAAACGAGCCGAGTCGAATGAATAGTTCAAGTTTGAATTTGACTCATAACTTAAGATTTGATATTTGATTTGAGTTCGATTGAATTTTATTTTTTAAGCTCGAATTCGATTCGTGATCGAATTCGAGCTACTCGAATCCGTTCGATTAAGCTTGATTAATATGTGAAAATAAATTTAATTTATATACTTGATAAGAGTTCGATTATTCATGCTCGAATTCGAACTCGAATTCATATTCGAAATATTTTATTAATTAAAATAATAAAAATATATTTAAATATAAAAACTAGACTCGTGAGTTATTTGAGTCAGATATAAAAATACTCAAATTCGACTCTATCGATAAATCAAGCTACTTGAGTTCGAGCTCGACTCGATAATAATCGAACCGAATTCAAAATTTTTTTCGAATCAAATCCGAATAACTTGTGAATATTAATGTATCATTTACAACTCTTAATTCCCTCCACGTTTCATTGATTTTGATTTTTGGGTTTTGTTTTGATTACCATGAAATTTCTCAGGTTGGACTTGAGAATTCAGCTGAGAATTTTGGATTTTTTTCTCCCTTGATGACGACTGACGAGCCTATGAAAGTTGGGTTGGGGCCTTAGGATTCAATGAAAGAGGTCTGAAATTTAGTCTCCACTTACCAATGAATCATGGGTCAAGCCGAAAAGGTTCCAACTGACAACTTGGGCTTGGCCGAGCCCTGGAAAAAAATAAATCCACATATTCTTTTATTATCCCTTTGGTATATACTGATTGAACTCTCTTTCCTTCAAACTCCTTTCACCAGGATGAGGAGAGGGAGAGAAATAGAAATATGATTGAGAAGAAGAATAAGGCAAGGGTAATTATTGTAGGAGGGAGTATAGCTGGGGTATCCTGCGCCCATGCGCTCACTTCAGTAGGATGGGAAGTTGTGGTGCTTGAGAAAACGAGCGCACCCCCAACTGGGAGCCCAACCGGGGCTGGCCTGGGGCTTGACCCTTTGGCTCAAAAACTCATTGATTCCTGGCTTGGTCATCCACAACTCCTCCAGCAGACAACCTTGCCTCTCATAATTGATCAGGTAATTGTCAAATCTTATGCTAATTCTTTTTTTTTTTCTTATTATAGTACTGGCAATTCCATTAAACATTAGCTATTGAATTTTATAGAAGTGTTTTTATGGTACTTTGACGTTTAGATCAGAGAAATTATCAATTAGACTCCCAAACGGAGTTAAGAGGGTCAGTGAGACATTTTTCAATCTCTTAATACGATCAGTGGAGTTTTTCTTGACATCTAACAGTGGAGTTTTTAGTGAAGCTAAGAGGGTGAAACATACCCTTAAGGTATACTTAAAACATAAAAAAAGTTATTAAAATTAGAAATGGGACATGTGTCAATTGCTTGACACTACTTGTAGATTTAAAAATTATATGGGGAGTGTATCAAATGCTAACTCTTTATACAATTACCTTTCGTCAATAGTGCAATGTTTATCTCATGGTAATCTTTACACGATCAGTGGCAAGTTTTGTATTCAATGTCAAATTTTGACATATTTTGCTCAAAAGATGAGAGAGACAAAAAAGATCAAATTTCAGTTAAAATCCCTCCGCTTTTTGTGGAAATGTGTTCTTAGCAGAACCAAGCAACAGATAGTGCTAAAAAGGAGAGTTGGACACTGACAAGAGATGAGGAATTCAATTTTAGAGCAGCACATTGGGCTGATCTCCATGGCCTTCTATACAATGCATTGCCACCAGATATATTCTTTTGGGGTCACCAATATATCTCTTTCAGCATTGTGGACAAAGCCTCTGTCAAAGTCAAGGCTAAAGTACTTCAAAATGATGAGATCATTGAGATAGCTGGAAATTTACTCGTTGCAGCCGATGGATGCCTCTCTTTAATCCGCCAAAGTTTTCTCCCAGACGTTAAATTGAGGTATATGTGGCTTAATGCAACTTAGAATTTGCTTCCAGTTGGCAGGCTGCATAGTGGGATAAGTCTAATCATATTGAAGCTCTTACTTGATTTCTAAGTTCTTAACTAATAGAACCAGAAAATTTTTCTCTGGACACATTTTTTGTCGATAAAATTGATAAATCTTACAGTTTATATATATATATATATATATATATATATATATTATATGTAGATATACCCAGAAGAAAATTCGAGATCCATCACTGAATAGAATCAGCAAAGAGTTAAATGCTAGATGTATTAACTCTTTCAAACTGAATTTTCTTTTGGTATCTTGATCAGCTATACACCCCTTAATGAGTTAATATAGCGATGGCAACACTCTTTGCAGGTATTCAGGTTACTGTGCATGGAGAGGGGTTCTTGACTTTTCAGGAAAAGAGGATTCAGAAACCATTAAAGGCATCCGGAAAGCGTACCCTGACCTTGGGAAGTGTTTGTATTTTGACCTTAGCTCTGGAAGTCATATTGTGCTTTATGAACTTCCAAACAAAAGGCTCAATTGGATTTTTTATGTCACTCAACCTGAGCCTGAGATAACGGTGCTTGTCTGCTCCTTTCTTGTATATTATGTTTCTTACGTTGCATTTACAAGTTATATGAATGTTGCTTTCATAGGGGTGCAAACGAATAAACTCGATGAATAGTTCGTAAATAAACTCGGTTTATGTTTGTTTATATTCATTAGTTAAACAAATAATTACAAATAATATTTTAATATTCGTTAATTAAATGAACAGATTACAAATATAACAAAATTTGTTTATGTTCAATTCGTTTATATTCTTATGTTTTGGGAACATTTAAAGTTGTATACAGATTTAGATACATACTAACAGAATTCTTCTATATTTCTTTAAACACTGCAGCAATCGAAACTAACAATGCCTCTGCATCTTTTGTTTTTGTTTGTATTACTTGTATAGCGAAATTCAGTTACTATGAAAGTAAGTGAAGATATGATAAACAAGTTGATCCAAGAAGCAGAGAAAGTTTGGGTTCCAGAGTTTGTGAGAGTCATGAAGGAGACGAAGAACCCTTTCTTAAATGCCATATACGATTGTGACCCTCTAAGATGGATCTTTTGGGGCAATGTAGTGCTGATTGGAGATGCTGCTCACCCAACAAGTCCTCACGGCCTGAGAAGCACAAACATGTCAATACTAGATGCAGCAGTTTTAGGCAAATGCATAGAGAAGTGGGGATTGGAAAATTTACAATCAGCTCTGGAAGACTATCAGTCCATCAGGCTGCCTGTTACCTCTAAACAAGTGCTGCACGCGCGGCAGTTGGGTCGAATTAAACAAGGCTTGGATGTTCCTAATCGCGAGCCATTTGATCCGAAGAAAGCAACTCCAGAGGATTGTAAAGATCTTCAACAGAAGAACATGCCGTTCTTCACTAGTGTTCCTCCATTAATTAATTGATTCTATATTACATTGTGTTTGATCTCTGAAAAGACAAAAATAAATTGACAGTTGAAGTCAAGTACTGTGCATAATGCATGAATTATAAGGAAACAATTTTCTGGTTATCATTGCTTAAAAAATATCTTTTACTTATTATTGGCCTCTAATCAAATGTTGCAGAAAGAAAAAAAAAACATATGCTATTCAAGGGCCATCAACAGGCTAAATCAAATTTAACAATTTAAAATATATAAAAAATATATAAAAAATATAAAAATAATACGATTTAAAATTTTAATAAAAATTATATATAAATTTAACAAAAATAAAAAAAAATCAGTTTTTATATTTTTCATATAAATATTAATTAAAATACATCATTTTCATATAAAATATGATATAAATATATAAATTATTAATATTTTACACAATAAATATTCAAATTATCATTGAATAATAGACTCGTGTCAGCATTTTAGAAAGCTCAAAGGGACACCACATTTCTTTTTATTGTCATCTCTAGCCACGATATCTCTTTCTTTCCAAACCGCTTCACCAGATTCTACTTACCAAAGGGAGAGACTGTGAGAGACAGATGGTTGAGAAGAATAAGGCAAAGCAAAGGCATCATCATAGGACGGAGCATAGCTGGGGAATCAAGTGCACATGCGCTTGCTATAGCAGGATGGGAAGTCGTGGTTCTTGAGAAAACAAAGCGCAATCCCAACTGGGAGCCCAACGGGGTTGAACTGAGGCTAGACCCTTTGGCTCAACAGCTCATTGATTCCTGCTTTGGCCAAAGCAGCTACTCCAGCAGTTCACCTTACCCCTCACAATTGATCATTTGAGTGTCAAATTCTAGAAGTCCTTTTTCCCAG